CGTTTTTGTAGTATTCAAGCCAACAGCTATTTATTTTCCATTCCGTTTCCTTTTAGGAGGAGTGTGGATAAGAGTAGTATTGGCCTAAGGGTCCCTCCATGGGGTAGGCCTAGGCCTGCGAAATTTGTCCCCAGGGCGTGTACACCCCCCCTCCCTCACTCCCTCCGAAGTCCGAATTCCTCTAGCGTGAACAACGTAGCAATAACACACACTTCCTACAATGACTGAGGAGGAAGGAACGTGTTCATGAGAATGACGTAAGCCTACATCTCCAACTGGGGAGGAGGGGCTAGGAAGCAGACACACAAGCTCATTACTTCTGAATTTCAAAGCGATAATTCCAATTCGACGGTAGGGGACTTTATCGTTAATAATTTATTCTGGCGAAAGGACTCTATGGCAGTACCTTTTTCAAACTCTTCTAGTGGTTCTATACAGTTGTCTATGAAAAAACCGTATAAACCATATATGCAGCCCGTATACCTTCCCGTTTTGTTGAAGTGTGAGCATTGGCCTAATCGTCCTTCAGTGGATTACACATAGCCACCTTACGTCAAAATGTCATCCTTAAAGTCAATGGAACATCTTATACTGTTTCCCTGCCAGAAAAATAAATAGAACCCATTCACATCTGCAAGCGTACCACGCGTCAATTCGTGCCCTTTTCTTCACCAATGACCCAACGGCATAGCTCCAACGCCTAGCGCGTCAGGTTAAGACAAAATGATGCTCGGTAATGATGGGTCGAGGAGCTCCTCTATGCGAATGGGTCGGGCAAGATTCGAGTAGGCCTCTGCGTCTGTCCAAGGGTTACCTATTGGCCTGCTAAGTCAATCACCTCACGGCACGTCCCTTCTATGTCAAACTTCATCGAAGGAGTGGAATGATACAGCTATTTATTTTATCTCCTGCTCCATGAAGGAAGAAAATGTATGAGAGTGGTATTAGCCAAAGCATCCATCCATAGGTTGAGCCTAGACCTGCGAAATCAGTCCCCCAACCCCTCTCCAAAACGTGCCCCCAGGGCATGGACCCCCAAAGTTGGGTATTCGAAGTAAGACTTTTTCTGGAATCGACAACCCATTAGTTGAACTCACGTTCATTCCGTTTTGTTGAAGGCAAGGGAAGCCTGAGAATGGCTTAGGCCTAAGCGTCCGTCTGAGGGTTAGACCTAGCCTTACAAAATGAGACCCCCTGGAATGAGCCCATTGGGCACTTACCACCAAAGTTGGAATTTTTCTGGAGTCAGCTATCTAACAGCAGTGTGTGTACCAAGTTTCAGCCTCTCATCATGTCTAGAACATGGTTAGAATAAGCGTCAGTCAGTCACGATCGTCTATATATATTAGATGTTTGGTGGACTATCAGAAATAGTTGCTTCAAAGGGTGCAGTTCTGTGTCATGTCATCTTTACATTGTTGCTCTTTCTTTGATGTTTGTTGCTCTGACGCATTTTCGAAAATGGTTGTTCTAAAACTTGTCGTTTTCCGCTGTGAGAAATTTCAAAAAAATTTTTCAAGAAATTTCAAGCAAATTGCTCGCTTGTGCAAGATACAGGTTTGTGCCAAAGTTCTTGTACACTTTGAAAATTAATTTTTTCACTAATCAACGGATTTTTGGCGATTCTGATGTAGAATTTGATTCATTTACCTTTTTTCATGTTGTTCTATGTACATATTTATTCAACTAACAATCCGAGGTTAAGATTTTATCAAAACTTTACCTTCATGAAAAAGAAATAAAGAAGTGTAAGAGATATACAAGTATGTGTACGAGAACTTTTGCACAACCCTGCACAGTCTGAGTTTGTTTTGTGGCAAATGGAACCTAAACTGGCATTTGTATAGCAAATTTTGAGTGTGACATTTTTTCACGGATGGGAAGGCATGAGTACCCATTAGCCCTTCAGGATCTGTTTAGATAATATCGGTATGGCAATGCGCATGCGCGTACGACCGAGGTATTTGGTGTGGTGCCACGTCAGCAATTCGAACTCCCAGTTTCCCACCGACCTTTGTGCCGGTCGTTTCCAAGCAGGCACAACCCTCCAACCTCCCACCTTTTCATTAACACCATCGGTAGATTTTCCAACGTAACTGACACATGATGCTTTTGATAGCCAAGGACCTGAATAAATACCATATTGGTCAATTACGTGACCGAAATGTAGGTCTCCCTGAATGAAAGGATGCCCACAACTGGTCTGAGCTTGCCCATTTGGTTATTAGCTGCTTTCGGAATGGTTTTGCACATTCATGGTATGAGAACATTTATATCGCTCATGCTCATTAAGAGTTACTCACGTGGACAGAAAAATGCTTACTTTTCATCGCAAGGTTTCCCACGAAAGCTGCAATGTCGCAGTGACTGCTTGATATCGACAGAAACATTCTGGATTCCCCACGGCATGTACTCGAAAGGTGGCAGGGAGCCATCCAAGTTATAGAAGAAGGTGAGAAAATCATCGAGGGACCAAGTTTCTTCTGCACTCAATGTTTCTGTTATGGTATCTGAAAAAAAATTGTGCGACATGCGGAAAGGAAGAGGCTTCCAGTAAAATAGACAATTAGAAGGACATCTATTATATCCCCAGATACGGTCAATCTAAAATATCATAGAAATCTTCAACTCTTGCTGACTAAGTTTCTGAAATGTGGCAACATATTATAATGCAACAAATGAGGAAATCATCAACCAAATTCAATGGGAGGCTCGAAATCGAAAGTCGCTTCACATCTGTGAATTCATTGCTCTCGTCCGTCTAGCAAACAATAGATTTTCCTGACTTTCCCTAACTTATTTATTATTGTTGTATGTAACTATAGTCGTCTAAGGAATATTGTCTATTTCTCTAGATTTGAAATATATATATATATAAGGATCGATGAACACATCATGTCTAACTGATGAAATTAAATTCGTAGATGGTGAATTCACTGAGATCCTGAGTGATAAAAAATAAAATGGGGGATTCATATCAATGTGCCAGAAGTCTCGCGAGGAATTCAATTGTTACTTCACAGGTAGACGTAGAATTCCAAGAAGAAACTATTAAGATATATTTTTCTGGGAATATTAATGAAAATGGGTTAACTTTCTCACTTATCCCAATTGATAGGCACTGTAGAATGAAAGAATTAGTGGATGGAAATGAATTTGTGAAACACAAGGTTGTGAATGAAGTAGAATCCAAGACAACTAGGGTCTAAAACGTCTTCTTTGTCGGAGTACATGAATTTATAGTTTGTCATGGTCACATGTGATACACACACTGAACATATTTGGAATACTGGCTTATTTTTTTCTGGAACAGGGGCAAGCATTGTTCGTTCGTATAACATATGCAATATTTAAAGGGCAAGGGAGAGGCTTTTAATCTTACTGGGTATTTCAGCGAAGGGTTTGGTGCAGGTCATTTCCCTTCCGTCCACGTCAGCACTGCATTCGGTTTCGTTGAGGGAAGAAGACAAATTTTCCGTAAATTGTTTGGTTGCGTCACCTTTCTTTGATATTTTCTCAAGCAGCCAATTCAGTTTCTGGTTGAGCTTCATGAATGCAAGAAATTCCGGTGAATCGCCA